TGGTTCAGAAGAGAAGGCTAGTCTTAGTGGAAGGCTTGTGTGGTTTGGCAGGGAAAGGCTTGTACTATGTTGCATCTCCTGCTCAGAAGTCAACACTCAGTTTAAAATATAAAAGGCTAACAACAGGTAACGTTATTTAAAGGAGTTTCCACAATGAGATCATTCAGAAGAGAACCATTTATTTATCTCTTAAAAATGCATACGTATCCAGCATAAAAATTATTAGAAAAAGGTATTTAAATTAATGAAAGTAATCCCACTTGACATTTGGGATAACAATTACCCTACTTTCCAATTATCGTTATTGCTTATTTTCCTTCCCAGAGAATTCAAAGCGCTGGACTTATTTCCTCAACGCCAAGTTCCATAGTATGATAAGACATCAAGTTCATTTTCAACCTATACTTACATACTTTGTTTATATTGAGAATGGATCCTTTGAAAAACATGCTAGTTTGAAGGAAACAGGTGTAATTTTGTTTTAAAGCATGATTTTTCTTCTTGTGATTATCAAAAGATTTTTTACTTCTTTTATTACCAATGCAGAATTGAAGTAACATTGAATGCTTTATTGCAAGCAACATGTCAGAGTCATATTTAGTTACATTGGACAAGAAAAATTCGGACAAGAAAAATTTCAGTCCACTGCAAACACTTTTGACAGCATCTGATTTCTTTTCATACTCACATATATTAATTCCAGACCACAGATGTGTAAAACTACCTAATTTCAGAACACGTAACACTAAAAGTAGAGATGGCTAAACTAAAAGTGACATTCTTCATGCAACCTACCAGTCGGTCAGTACTATTTACTGAAGTCCTTTTCACTCCTCAGCTAGAATCTCTCATTCACGTCTTCTTATACGGCAGAAGATAAGTGAGATTATTTTACTTATGTAACGTAAAATGTAAAGATTTGGCTTAAAAAAAAAAAAAAAGCTCATGATAAACCCACTTGTAACTTGAGATTGGATAATCCCACAATTGCTTCTTTTCATTCAAAGAAAAAACATGCCCAAAGTTGTCTTACATACTCTAGTTTCCATATGTCATGTCATTCTGCAGGAAATTATACTCATGGCCTTGCACAAACACTTGTATCTCCAAAGGCAGAAATGAACACCTCACTTCAACTAAGAAAGAATGAAAATCTAATAACTATTTTGATGTCATCATGGCAAATTTCCAGGACAAGGGTTTGCAAAATTAGGCACAGACTACTGGGTTTAATTGCTGCTTCAAAAGAAACAGAAATGGCAAATGCTTGGAACTCTCTTTGTCTTGAACACTCATGAGCCTTCTTTTTATAGTGACAGTGGTCCCAAGTCAGTACCAGTGTCCCAAAGACTGCCCAAAAAGGAAATACATGGCATGACTTTACATTAGTCAAACACATTCAGCACACCAGAGAACATCATGGTGCCTCACACCGCTCCTCTCCCTTCCTCTCTTCATTTGAAAAAAAGGAAGAAAATATGGCTTGGTGAAAGAACCTACGACATAGTGGAAAAGAACATAAAAAGCTGCATGATCTTTGAACACTTTCAACAGTTTGTGCTAAAACTATAATGAAATTTGGAATCAAATCATTTGAGGACAATGATATTCCAAAATATGAAGGTGCTCAGGAGAATTTGATGTTGGAAAAGGACTACAGGGCCTGGTATGGGTCAGGCAATCAGAACGCACTAGAGGACTTCAAGTGCCATGCCATGTAAAGCACCACTTACTGGCTGAACACACAGTATATACTATGAAAATACTTCCATTCCCACATCAGAACTTCCAGAAAACTCACCTTTGAGTGCAAAAAATTCATTAGCAGCTCATTTACTGTTCTTCTCAGAACACATCCCTTAAATACTGGGAGTCAAACAGACTTTTGGAGGGTTGAAAACAGAGGGGAATCATACTGTTATTCATAACATATTGTAAGTAGCATGCAAAGAATAACAATTTTATTCCTATTGATTCTAAATAACTTTTTGATTATTTTCTGCCATATGAGAATCATGTCCTGGTCTTTAAGAACTGTAATTTTTAAACTCATCTTCTGCACGTTGTGTATGTATTTGTTTATAAGGACTAATACTTCCTACGTACAGAAATCCTTAGACAATGTACCAAAAAAAATTGACTGAAGTCTGCTATATTAGAAGATGGAAAATTTATCCATTTTTAGCAAATGTCAAATCATTGGCTATTGCTTTTAAGATTAATAAAAGATATAATGGCTTCTAGATAGCCTCTAAATAAAGATTACTATGAATGGAGAAATGATTTACCAATAGTCACCACAATGAGATTTCTTTAAAGGTTACAATCATCAGTTATTTAGCTGAAACACTGCTGAGAATGCCTGGTCATTTCTTGAATAATGTATAAAGTTCATTGTAAATTTGATCTGTATTATAACAATACAGATATTTCTAAAATAATGGAGAAAACTATCTGTTACTTTCCAATTGCTCAAGATATTTCCATGAAGTAATTGACTCTGAAAATATTATATGAAGTTACTTGAGTGTTCATTTGCAAGCGCAACTTGTAGTGATCGCTACACAACAGGCATAAAAAAACAAACTCATCAGCCTTTATAGACTTTTAAGAAAAGCTGTGATAAATACAGGGCAGAGTAAAGGACCTTCCTGAAATACTAAATTAAAATAATTAAACTGCTGTACAGTACTGGGGGACAAATTTAAAACTAAGCTTTGAAATGTAATTATTAACAAAAGCAGACCATCACATTGGGGGGGGTGCGGGGAGGGCAAGCAGTTGCCTATGCAATGCAAGTACCTCTCATACAATTTTCCAAATACCTTTAAGTCTAGTTAGAAGATTGCTTGGGCATGCACAAAATATAATGTCTAGTGTTTTATTGTAGGATTATCATCCATACTTCACATGAAGCTGCAAGCTATTTATGTGAGCTTGTTTATCCATATAAACTTCTTCAAGGGCAGCAAAAAGCCACCTTAATAAATGAAAATGAATTTCTTTTGATGTAATTTCATGAATGTTTGATCAGAATGTGTTAACAGGTTTCTGTGGAAGGAGAACTGGTGAAGTAATAAAATATACCTGTACTATACAGTTAAACCTGCTTATGGGGAATTCTTATACAATGAAAACACTGTTTCATTATTTCAATATACTGACACATAAATAATACAATCCTAGTTAGTATAAAGCTAAGTACTCAAACAGGAAAAAAAAAGCAGAAATCCTTCCCTAGTCCTCCCCCACCCCTTATGCCTAGAGGAATGGGAACCATATCACCAGACGGGTGGAGGAGCAGGATTATTATATCAGATAGGGTGAAAAAACATTAAATGTTTACCTAGCTTTTTTATAGGGAGAAATGTGTTAATCTAGGCCAGACTATTTATGCTGTTGTCTAAGAATAAGGCTTCATTCTCCCTTAAAATTCTTTTCATCATTAGAATCTTTACACAAAAAAGAAGCTTCAGTATTCAGATATATATTCTTATTCTACAAGAAGATAATGAAAAACAGATCCCAGATACTCTGAAAACATACACAGAGATCTGCAGAGATCAGCCTTTCCGTGATACCGGACAGCTTGTAGAAGCACTGTATGTCTGTTAGCTACAGGAATTTTGGGAGGAATTATTTATTTTAACAGACAGCTCATGGATTGTACAGCAGAGTCCACTTTACATCCGCCTTGCAACACTGTTTAATTGCCTGAGAATAAACCCTCATCCTGAAAAAATGGGGAACATTTGCATATTATATCAGAAGCCTGATGAATCATGTTATACTCATGCTCTGGATGATGTAATTATTACCTTTTTTTTTCTCCATGAAAATTATATATGATGTGGCAGATAATATAAATGAAATATATGAAATGACGCAAATATGTCCAGCTACTAAATCATCAGCCTGAAAGTCCTTTGGGTTTTGCCCTCCAAGTCTATCTCCATCCATTGAAAATTGCAGCTTTCCTTAACTAATAGTACTTCCTTTAAATGGAAGAGCAGGTAAAAGCCCTTTGCACCATCAATACCAGTAACCCTTCATAGGCAGCTGTGGGCTGATAAATAAGATTCTATTCCCCGCTCCTCCCCCCACCCTTAAAGGTGGCTTTTTCTTTTGCCTCATGCTATATACAGTCTATCTACTTTAGAGTAGATCAAGAGTTTAAGTTTCATAATGTGTGGAAAAAAACTGCAGTGCTCGAATCTCATATGCCTCTTTCCAAAATATGTTTCCTCCAAAATGTAAGATCAGTAGCTGAAATAAAACAGGGTAGTTTTCTGTGCTGTCAAAGCTAGGACAACTACAATTCCCAGGTTTTGGTAACTTTGAGTTCTGTTAATGCAACTTGCTCCCTAATTCAAAATACTTAACAGACAGCAAGATCACATAACTAGCATGAGTGAAAAAAAAAAATTACAAAAAAATGTCCAGTTTACACAAGCCATTGGAAACACTATTTAGGACCAACATGCACACAGCCTCTAAAATAACTGTCTGATTCCTCTATTACCTGACTTTTGTAGCAACTCATGTCTAAAATGTTGATTTTGCTGCCCAGATGCTTACTTGAGCATGAAAAGAGGGTGTTCAATATTGAAAACAGTCTATTTTGGCGGAAATGTTGATAGACGCCTACTGGCTCAGAAGTCGAAGTAATTTCTATACACGTTATAAGATGATAAATAAAATCCTAGTCTCTAATCTGAAGATTTAAAAATTTGGATGTGATGCTCTTAAACTTCAGGAATACATGCTTCTGCCTTTAAGGTTTAGCCATCAAATTAAGAAATTGAGTCCTCAAATCAAGGAATAATGCCATCCTCCTCTCAAACGCATCCTTACACAAAATACTAGAACAAAGCAACACAATCATTGCTAAATAACTTCAAACAATTTAATCTACATCACCCAGAAGACTTAACTGTAATAGGTATATGAACAGGTTTGTTGTTAAATAAAAAATAAATAAAATAAGAGGTTTATTTCACCTTCACATGGTGTCTTTCTCATGCAGACCTCAGATTTCCACATTTGTATCCCTTTAAAGGATTTGATATGCAGGGAAAGAAGAAAGGATGATGGTAAAAATTTCAATTTAGAGGTTTCTAAAGGCTGCCATATTTGATACTATACAACATATTTACTCCATACCTTTTACTGATGTATTAGGTGGAGGTCCTTCCATTCTCAAGTTCCATGGAGGATCGCCTTGATTAGCAAAGTCCCTCATTTTCAGATAGCTAATTGTAAGTCGGATGATGGATGCCTTGTCAAGCTGGCTGGTAATGGCTGCAGGCAGCGGCAACAACTTTGCCAACTCATAGAATTCAAAATTCTCCTTTCCCCGGCGAGAGCGAGCAGCATCTCGGGACTTTTCCTTCCTCAAAGCTTGTAAACTGAAAGAAAATAAACAAAGTAGGACATTCATCAATATTAGTGCTCTGTCACATTTAACCAATTTGCTTTTTCACTGCTGGCCTTCTATACAAATTTCCAGATTTTCAAAATGCTGCTGTGTATGGATGTACAGACTTCAGGCTATATTTAATGGTACTCCAGTCTTTGAATGATTAAAACTAATGATAATATTTGAGTTTCCGTGGTAGCCAAAACATTAAGTAACTACTCCTAACTCATTTCAGCCGCTTTCTTCTTAGCCTGCCCTTCCTTCCTCTGCTGCCAGTCGAAAGAAAGGATTCCCAAGAATGCTATGTACATGTGGGATTTATCCGCATGGATGCCATTGCTTCTCCTCATCCATTGTAACCCAATTTTGTCTAAGTTTGTGCCAAATGCTGACTATTGGGAAAAGGAGGTTAAAAGCAGATGACTGAAGTGTGCTACCTCTGACAGGGGTTGCAGTGCGGCCAAGATGACCAAACGGGCTGTACAGTAGCTTCTGAGCCGCAGAAGTTTAAGTCTGGCGTAATAACATAAACCTTCCTGGATTTCATGAAGCTGCTCTTTATGAGAGTTGTTCAGCTGTCCTTGCTGTGGGAACAGCAACCTTTGTCAGAGGGGCGAGCAAGCAGTTAATACAGTAATGTGCTTCATATTCCTGATTGTAATTCACTACCACATACGTGTCAGACTGACAACTTTTTGGTCAGAAAGGACCTTCTGCTTTACACGGAGCAGGTGGAAACACAAAGACATTCATTTACTCCTGTTGCATCAGTGTATCACTTGCTACCACCCCTGTGCAATGCCTAAAGCTAACTCAGATTTTACTCCTGAGCTATTTGTTTTATTGGTGTATAACTGCTGAATGCACATTGTGATGATGGCGGGTAACTGCTGGGGTCGGTCTTCTCCCGATCTTTCCCTGAAACTCAAAGGAAACTCAGTTTCAATATATGATAATACAGCTTTGCAAGGGAAAAGGAATTAACTTTTTTTGTTGCATGGTTTGGGGCAGACAAAGAAATGTACAGTACGCTTCCCAAAAGATTAGGAGTCAATATGTAGATAATACAAAGAACAGATACTGCCTCTTTTTTCTTTTTAATGAGAGGTTTTGAACTTTTTTTTTTTTTTTTTTTTTTTTTTTTTTTTTTTTGAGACAGAGCAGAGTGTTCAACTCAGGATATGATAAACTTGACCATACTTCTGCCTTGGTGGATAGAGGTTGGTGCCAATGCTGGGGTTGGTGTCTGCCAATCACTGTGTAAGGTGAGTAGAACAGAACTGTTCTTGTCCCTCACAAAGACTCTATCTTTCCTTTGCTTCATATGTTTACTTATTAATTTGATGAAGTTACAGCCACAAGCCCATTAACTAGTCATTGGTTTACAACAGAGCTAGAATTCAACCAGTGTATAATGGAACAGCAAACACTTCTCTCAAGCTTCCACAACCCTTCCTGAAACCCTGGATTTTATCAACCAAAGAATCATAATGGCCAGATCTACAAAAGCATTCTGGCACATGAAGTAGATCAGTAGAATCTAGGCATGCAGGTCTAATACCATGATTCCGAGACTTCTATTTACCTATCTTTCTAATTTGGAAATAATTTAAACTACAGAGGTTCTCTTATTTTAATATTCTTAACCACCTGCATTTTCGTGGCTGTCTCTGCCACCTCAGACTTGAAAGGGCAGATCAGCTGGGCCCTTAAAACACAAATGAAATCTCTCCATCACACTTCCCTGAGAATGCTTAACAA